TTATTGCTAAATGTATTTTCCTGCTCAATAAAGAGTTTTAAATAGCATTTTAAAACATCTCCAAATCCTGGGCCTTAAAAATGGGACCCCATGAAGAGACTACTTTCTAACAAGTCTGTGCTGAGACACACTTCCTTTTGTTGTTTGGGGTGATAGTATTTAAAGATATTCAATTCAATTATATTTTTAAATAGTCACTAAGGACATCACATGACAAGTTTTTAAATCAAGCAAATCTGGGTTCAGATCCATAAGGAAAAATAATTGTTTTATTTTTATCTATTTAGATTAGATCCAAATCATCCCCAATCCCATGAAACTGTAACTACGACTGAAATTATTTTCAGATACACTTCTTTAGAAGGAATAATTCAAGGAAACTTGAGTTCATAATGGATAATACTGGTTGACTTAATCATCCTTTAGCTCGGCAATCCAGATCTTCATATAATATTTAAAATTCATCTTTGAAAATACATCTCTCACTAAAGTCAAAATGAGAGATAAGCAGAGATTGTCCATAAAGAAAGCAAAGTCTGCTTGAAGCTTTCTAAACTGTGTCAACATATTCATCTGGGTGTAAGAACACTGTGGAGGATTTCCATTTCATTTTTTATCCTCTTTTATTTCCAAGAATGCTCCAGGAAACTTGGACTATGTTTACTGCCAAAAATGTATATTCTGAGCACTTCCTAAATGTTTCCTTAGAATATGGGAAAGTGCCAGGAATAAAAGTCTCCCTGCCCCCCAACACACACACACATACAAACCCAAACAAATGAGACAAACTGTAAATTTAGGACTCTTTTTTTTTCCATCAGAGAACTGAGGCTTTTGGAGAGATGTAGAAAATGAACATTGTCACACTGAGACAGACACAAGGAAATGCATGAAGAAAGTAAGCAGCTGAGGTTTTTAGATGGCAAACACAAAATGTGGGGTGTTGGGAGCCAAGTCCTATCTGAAAGCGGCTATCATCTTTGCAGCCATCTCAGGCCATATACCCTGACAAGAGACTTGTTTTCAACAGCCTACAACAGCTGAGCACACTCTGATAAGCATCTTGTTTTTCTCACATATCTTCTTTTGCTGCTTAGTGCCCCCAGCTGCAAGATGCATGTGGTCTCCACGCTGCAAGGCACGTGACAAAGTGTCTTCAGCTGTGTTTCTCTGCTTGTCCCTGAGGGCAAGGCATGTGGTAAAGCATATAAATACCCAGGATTTCCTGTTAATAAAAGAGACTTGATCGGACCCTCTGTCTTGTCTCCATTCTTCTCGTCTCTCGCCCCTCCAGCTCTGTTCTCTCTCTTGCTAGACCCTGACCCGTGGACTGGGAGCAGCAGCTCTGGCCGGGACAAAGTGGCCCCTAAATGTGGGGCTGAACGGGTCATTACAGAGTGGCGCCTCAACATTGGAGCTCCAGTAAGCAGTATACAGTGAAGGACACTGCAGGAATTAGAAGCGTGCATCCTCACTCCTGCGCCAGAGACCCTGTTGACTGATAGAATGGGCCCAGACAAAGTGGCGCTCAATGAGAGGTAGCAAGAAGGAGAGGCCCAGTGAAGGATGTTACTGGAAGAAGGGTCTGCCGAAAATTCAGAAGTGAAACAAAGGTGATCGCTGCAGGAACCTGCCGCATCAAGACTAGTAGGTCATAGTAATGAAAATGGGGCAAGAAATAAGTTAGCAGGAACAGATTAAAAAGACTTTAAAAACGCAGGCTGCTCTCAGTCAAGAGAGCTAAACAGTTAAATAGAAGGATGCTCTAGGCAGAGAGCGGAACAGAAAGATAGTATTAATCAGTTACATTAGATTTATTTAACTTTCAAAATGGGTGTGATTCTGAGTTGTGTGGTTATATTTTTCCTCTGAATAAAAGGTCAGTGTAAAGGCTTTTCTAGATACTGGCTCAAGAATAGGGAGATTTGGGGAAAAAAAGGTTTTTCTATGTGTTTTCTGAAAAGGTCATTAAGGTAGTAGCTATATCTTCCAGAATTGTATGAATCAGACATGACAGAAGTAGGCTTCCAGAAGACTAGATTCCAGAGAATCAAATAAAATAATTATCTTGATACCAAAATTTGTTTTGAGATTTGTATATTACAGAATACACAGCCTTGGTGAATGAATCTTCTAGTCACCTGCATGTCCACTGATGTCCTGGACTTCCAGCTGGATGCAGTTAAGACAGACATCAGAGGCTTATCAATTTACCCGTCCCCTCACTAGCTGGGGGCACTAAACAGTGTAACAAGATGTTTATCAGAGTGTGCTCAGCTGTTGTGGGCTGTTGAAAACAAATCTCTTGTCAGGGTGTATGGCTCAAGATGGCTGCAAAGATGATAGCCGCTTTCTGCTAAGACTTGACTCCCAACAGGTTCCCCCCCCCCCCCCCCGCCTTAGAGAGACTTGATCAGACCGTCTGCCTTTTCTCCATTCTTCTCGTCTCTTGCCCCTCCATCCCCAGTATCTCTCTTGCTAGACTCTGACCCGAGGACTGGAGGGGCAGCTCGGGCCGGGGCAGTGGGGTAGATTTCAGAATCCTTAGGGAGCACGGTAAGAGGGGAGTCTTCTGCTTGTGGGCTCTTCACAACATGACTGGCAAAGGTTCTAAGGTGTCTAATAAAAATTAGCCTGGGTTTGGGAGCAGCAGCAAGCAAGCAGCCAAAGAGTCCTGAGGTGCCTAGAATGACCCTGGCCTGGGGAGGGGGTAGCAGTGCCCCCAGGAAATCAAAATCATTACCTACATTCCTCTCTGTGAGATATAGACTTTGTGTGCCTGTATGTATGTGCATGTGTGCATTTGTGTGTGGTGTGTGTGTTGGGAGAAACACAAATATCACTGTCATCCTCAGGGACCTACTGAAAAACCCATTGCAGTTAAAAACATACAAGCAGAAAAAGAAACAGAATAGTTAAAAAAAAAAAACCACCACAACCCCCTCTTAACCTAAGGGTGAGAAGAGCATAAAGACAGTCCTGGGTTTTGGGGGACTCCTACAATGAGAATTTTAAGATCCAACATGCTGGTGGGCAGGCTGGTGGAGTTGATGAGAAAGTAGTTTGGAGTAGTTTGGAATAGGTTAGTGTTAATTATAATGTCAGTGGGGGCTGGAGTGGCAGAAACTTTAATACCTGGAGCCCAGTTGGAAGGAAATGAAGTCATGGGAGACGGGCATCTGAAGGAGATATTGGGACCCTGAACCTTTACCAAGTCTATTTGCTTCTTGGTCATTCTTTTTGGAAAAGCCCCTTCCATCACACTTTTGTCTGGATATATTGCATCACCAAAGCCTCAAAGCAACAGAGTAAAGTGACCATGGACCAAAACTTCCGATCGTGGGCCAAGTGAACACCACCTCCTCTATAAGACACTTCAGGTATTTTGTCATAGAGTGCACATAGGCACAGGTGAGGAAGGCTGGGGATGGCCTTCAGACACTTCTGTTAAAGTGCTGTATTCTGGTACTTCTTTTCTGGCCACATACTTGATAGATACTATGAAAATAAAGAAAAACATAGTGTAATAAAGATGAGAGAGTGAATATATGTTCAGATAACAAAAGTAAGATTAAATTTTAGGTTGAATAAAAATGAGAGTAAGATCAAACTAAGAAATGTACATAAAGTAGAAAATTTAAGAAATAATGTCAAACAAAAATGACATTAAACATAATTTTGAAGTAAAAGATAAAAGGATAAAACCAGTAATATAAACTTAAATCTAAAAAAGTATTGGACCCATGAAAAATCAAGAATAGATGTATCAGAGAGGGGCTCGGGAGATGGCTCGGTGACAATGAAGTGGTTTCTGTCCAAGCATGAAGAATGAAGGTTTTGGTTTTTTTTTCAACTTTTTATTGGGTCTTTGTGAATTTCCCATCATGCGCCCTAATCTCGCTCTTCTTCCTCTCCCCACCCACCCTCTACCCTTGCCGCCTGCCACACAACAAAGGAAAACTAACTGGTTATGGAACTGGTGGCTGTAGTGTGCTACCGTGTGCCCCTTTTGTCCACACTTCTTTGTCTACAAATGTTTATTGCAATGAGACCTTGGTCTGACACGAGGGCTCTGGCTTCTGCTACTCTCTCGATATTGGAACCTCCCTGGTTCTCCTCTCAGATATCCTGTTATTGCCCTGTGCCATGGAGATCTTGTAGCTAATCTGTGATGCCCAGGTGAGATGCAGGGCCTGCTCCTTGAGTGTTGCAGCAGGCAAGAGACAGGGCCAGTTCTCCTGTTCTCAAGACTCTATCAGGGCCCATTCTTCTGCTTGCCACAGGTGATGAGGGGAGAGGTACGAGGAGGGCATCTCTTCCTTGTCCACACCATCACATGGGAGATGAGGGGTACGGCAAGCTCTCCCAAGTTTACATCCTCGGGTGTCAGCTTACCTACAACTCCTGCAGTGTTTGAGACACTTTCCCAAGTACTGCAGCGGCTAGGGGCAGAGTCAATTCCCTTACTCTCATGCCCCCAGGACCAGCTTTCCCATGATGCCCCGGTGAAAGGTGGGGCCAATTCTGCTTAGCCCTTCCTCAGACATCAACATGTTCCTAGGCAGCAGCACAGACCAGGGATGTCTGCCTGTCCTTTGTTGGTAACAGAGCCCTGCTGCTGAAGAGCACAGGCCCAGACATATCCCCTATTGGCAGCTCAGGCCATGATGGCACCATGGTCTCAGGTGACAATTGACCATTCAAGCTGTTCGTCACTACCCTTGAATCTTCAGTTCTGCCTCTCTTCATTGTACCCACATCTTTCTGTTCCTCTTTCTCTTCCATTTCCCCACCACTTGTTCCTCTTAGTGGTACCTTGGGTCTCTGAGGGTCTGGGGTCATCTCAGGAGTAGTCTCAAGAGTGCTGTGCCCTGCTTGCTCATTATGGCACCGGGCAGAGGTCTTCTCGAGCATGGTCTGACCCCTCCCCCCAGGTCTTCGTGGTATCAGAGTGGTGGTCATCTCAGGCTAGCTCTCCTGTCCAAGCCCCTTTGGTGCTGTATGTTAAGTTAATAATACTTCAGATGTTCATAGGTCAGAACACTGAGAGTAGACATAGCCTCTCTCCTTTCTGCTGCCTCCTGATAAGCAGGTGACAAAAGCTATACCGGTAACACTTTTAGGAGCATGCAAGAATGGGGTTTAGATTCCAAGAACCCACATAAATGCCAAGTAGATGTTGGGACCCACCAGTAATACCACCACTAAGAAAGCAGAACAAGCTGGCTGTCTAGATCTGGGTTCAAGGGAGAAGCAATTGAGGAAGACTCCTGACATTAACCTTGGACCTCTACACACATGCAAACACACAAACATGTACATACATCTCACAGATATACACACAAAAAAATCAGGGAATAAGTTTTAGAAATGATGTTAAGACTAGGAAAAGTATTACTAAAGACACTGATAAAAAAATTGACTTTTAAAGCAAAGAACAAGACTGACCCAGAAAAGAAGACAGGACATACTGTGTAATAATGGGCAAGACAAAGGCTCTGCAACACAGGCACTGGGGAAATCGGGCCAGCCATGCAGTGTTGTATACATTCTTAAACAATCCATATCAGCATTTTGCAATTTAATCATATGTCTTTCCTGGAATATTTTCCTTCTTTCATGATCTCTTCACTTTCCCTTTATCAACCAATCAATCAATTTCTGTCTTTTTGTGTGTGTGAAAAAAAATTTTTGGCTTACAGTTGCAGGGTGATCCAGTCCATCACGGCAGAGAAAACAAAGCAGTAGGCAGGGAAGACATGGTGGCAGGAGCTGAAGGCTGGTCTGTCACACTGCATCCATGCCAAGGAAGCTGAGTGAGCAGTAAGTGGATATATGGCCTCTTAAGACTCAAGGCTGCTACCTGTGACCTACTTCCTCCAATAGCCCTTTGACTTTTAAATGTTCCACACCTTCCCAAACAGCGTTCCAAGCTGGGCATCAGGTGTTCAAAAATATGAGTCTTCTTATAAGGGACATTTCACATTCACCACTGCATACACTGAGCCATCTCTCTAGGCTCCAGTTTGTTTTTGTTTTTAAAACAGTCTTGTTCTAGCCCAGCTTGACTTACAACTCACTGTGCAGCCCAGGCTAGTCTTAACTAATAGCACTCCTCCTGCCTCAGACTCACAATATTCAAGATAATGGGTATAAAGCCACCATGCCTGGACCTAGTCTCTTTATGTTTTAAAAAATTCACTTTTCATGTTGTACTTGATTGGTACTTTCTCCCATTTTAAATGTGTCCTTTCATATCATCTAAATGTAAAAAACCCAGATCTGACGTTCAAGGTGCTAGTCACCAAATCTCCTTATGATAATCATTAGCTCTCAGTACTACCCATGACCTGCATACATATATTCCTTACAGGAGGGACACTGTTGGAGAGTTGGAAAGCTATTTAGACAGAAGCTGAAGTTAATTGTCTTTTAATTACTACTTCATTGCTTACTACCTTGCCACCAAGGTGTTCACCATTTTGGAAGTGGAGATAAAACTACTAGTTGATTCATTAGCGTGTTTGAGGGGTAAATAAAGAGATACATACACAGCGTCTGATGAGATCTTGGATCAAAGCAAACCTTCAGTAGATGAGACCTGCTCTAGTGAGCACAGAATTATTTTAGGCTTTGTAGTAGCTGAAAGTTTACACCTCTGAGAGTATATAGCATTGCAAATGTTTCCTTTTTGTTTAATGTATGAATGATATAAAACAGGAGCCTTCACCATGCTTGCAGATTAGTACCATGAACTGAGCTATCATGATGTAATCCTGGCAAATCACTTGGGTTTGTCAAAATGAATAAGCAAGGTGCTTTTTAATGTGGTTCTGCTGAGTTTTTGATTAGTGGAAACCTGGTAGAGACCTCAGAATATTTTTCTGGGATCTCAGGGCTTCCACTCAATACTGCCTGGCTATTTTGAGTTTGTTGGAATCAGTTCTATGTAGAAACCACTGACCTGAGAGGACGCTGGGTAGAGATCTCAGAAAATAGAATGCTTGAATGGATGTTTTACCTGGCCCCTGTTATTTGTCAAGGGATGGGACTGTCATTGATATCCTAAAGGCTTTGGATACCTGGTCCAATTATTTGCGTAAAATCTTGGTGACATTGGCACAATGTTCTAGAAGACCTATTGGTATATGTATGTGTGGTTGGTTGGCTTACTGATTTGTTCTTATAAGCCTAAAATCCAGCTGGTACTTAACTGCAAGTTTTTTTTTACAGTCTTAGAGTCTGGACTCTGTTGTTCTATATAGACAAAATCCTTCTGGAGCTTGAGGACTCTGTCCAGGCAATGATGGTGAGTTTCTCAGGGCACCCCTGAGATGTGATGTTGTCTTCTAGAGACCCAGACCATTTTTCTGTTTCTGTTAGCTGAACTTTAAAAAGCTGTTTGTATTTCTCAGTAAAAAAAAAAATTATCTTCCACACTTCAGAACATGTAAAGAACTTAACTAAATAGTTAATAAGGTACTTAGCTAACTCCAGTGATGCCTTTAAGTCTAGCCTCCTGCTTCTGAGCAGGTGTCCACATCTGAACCAATGGATGCATTTCAGAATCCACAGATTCAGAGCACTGCTACTTCTATGTTTTAGTAATATGAATCTAATGCCCATTTCACATCGGAGGGAACTTGTGTCTTAGATTAAGTACCTTGCCCAAGGTCACGTAGCTGAGAATGAGCAGATTAGGACACCAGCCCTTGCAGGTATGACTCTAGGCCAGTTTTCCTAAGCACTACATTCTTGGCTTGTTATCCATTCTGTGTATATTTGGATTCTAGACATATTCTTTTGGTAAGCTACAGCATTCAACTCACTTTAGGTTAGCCCTTTCTTTTTGAGAAGCAATGATATACACAATCAAATGTACACTACATATTATATAAATATATGTAAGTTTTGAGAGCATTCTCAACACCACCAACAACCAATGTGACCGACTGGATCCTGGAAATGCTAGAATGACCTGATTATTGGCAGTGGTCTTGCAGAGAGTATTTGAGAAAAAAGAAAAATCCCTGTGCCTTTTCAAAAAACACATTTGCTAGACAGGGACAGGAAAAGCTTGCCATTAAAGTTTCAATTTGCAAGTCCAGGAAAAAAAACCCTCTGCTGTTGTGGATTCATAAAGCAGCAGAGCAGTTGTGTTATGATACTTACAAGATGTGGGAGCAGCGAAATGAGCTAAATCAAGAATGACCAAGTCTGCAAACCAGTGTTCAGGAGGAGTGTACCAATGAAAGAGTTACTGAGGAAAGGGCACTTGGTAATATGATTTAAACAGTTCATTTTGTGAATGTTGGAAACTAAGAAGACAGGGAAAAATTTAATCTGCATATGTACCCTACCCCCAGTATTCATAAACTGAATCATGAGATGGGTTATACAGATTAGAAACTGATAGTGTAACTAACTAAAGTCAATCCAACACCACCAACAACAAAATAAATCTGATGTATCTTCCAAGTCTGGATGAGAGATAGGGATAATGTACGGGTCTCATCCATTGAGATTTAGTAAGCTGGAGGCCTAGAGAGACTTTGGACTTAGACGTGAGGCTTAAGAATGGACAGTCAGCCAGAGAGACTGAGAGACCCCTTTGGATGGAAAGATTGATAAATATCGGCATGTATAGTGGGAATCGAGCTACTGAAAAATATGAACTAGTCCATAAAACTCTTTAACTATACGTCTAAGGAGATGGGATGAAACCCTGATAAGCTAACAAAATAATAATTAAGAATAGAGTTAGGTCTGTCAAGCACTTAATCACTACTGTGTGCCAAGCATACCCCAGGACTGCGCAGGGTACTTTACAAGAATGAGCCTACTTGATATTCACAGTGGGCCACTAGGATGTGCTCTCATTACCTTAGCCTCACACAGGAGCGGTGCTATTCATAGTGAGGGTCCCTAACATGAACATAGCCTGGTGACGGTTCCTAACCACTGCTGCAGCTGGCTGGCTCTACCACCTGCAGACTGCTCTGAGTCCTGTGCAGAAGCCACATGAGCCGACTCCGGGCACAGTTTGGAGCTTGGCCTCTCAAGATTAGGAAAGGTCACTACTCTGGGCCTAGGACAGGTTTATGTGTCAGGAGGACTGGGTAGGGGAACTCAAAGGCTCAGCAATGTTACTGGTTGCTGGTATATGTCAGACCCACCATTTCCCTGTTCCTTTGGTAAAAATAAATAAATAAATATAAAAGAAATAAAAAACAAACAAATAAACTCCCCAAAACTTCCCAAACCATACATGTATACCCTTCAATTTGCACATATTGGTTTGATTAAAATAAATTTTACTTGAATTAGTTTTTGGGTCAGAAGGCAGAAGCAAAATTTCTTAAATTTTCGGTTACATATTAGCAACAGATGTGATTTAATACTGCTAGTGTTAAATGTTCAAAACAATGGTAACAGTCCACTTCCAGCATATTTGTTCTTTTATCATAATATTCCTGTGAAATACAGATAGATGTGATTAACTTGTTTCTAGATGAAGAATTTAGTGAAAAGAGTTCCAGGGATGTACACGCACCTATTTCCCGAGGTAGACTTCAAGGTAATTCAAGCTTTGTGTGTTTTTTTCCGTCACCAGTCCTTCAAGGTCATTATGAAAGTGCATTTTTGCTAAATCCCCATTTGAAGGTAGATACTCTGCTCTTTCCCAGTATAATCCTGAGCTGCAGCGGTGACATCCTGTTTTGTTTGGAGGGCATTGAGTTTCTCTGCTACAATGTTCAGAAATGTACTTGGTTAAGTATTTAAATGCTTAATTACAAATATGGGACATGATCAAGTTACCTAAATAATAAGACAGGGAAAAATCTAATCAGCATATGTGGTCTATTTCCAAGTGTCAAATGGCTGTTCTATATGACCTCCGTTACAATCCCTGCCATTATATCACCAGCACGTCTTTATAACACCTTAAAAAGCCTGCCTGTTTCCAAGAGTAGCGTTATAAATATGTTTCTTTATCCCACTCTCATTATAACAAGAAGAGGTCAATGGTCTAAAGGGTAGTTTCATATTATAAGAGGGATAAAAACTAAAATCAATAAATCTCCAGATCATAAATGTTACTACAGTCTGGCAAGGTTGAGAAAATTATG